CAGGTTTTTATAATGTACATGTGTTTCATTTCAATATCAAATGTTCTCGTCACGATATGGCTGAAATATTGCCGATGTGACGTTAAGTATTAACTCACTCACTCCTTTCTTCGGAAGGAGTATTGTGCGACCTTTGCAGAACCATGGAGGAACATCCCCTGTGTCCACAGGAGAATTAAAACAATGAAGTAATGGTGTTTGGACACAGGGGAATAGTTTCCAGTACCGGTTTCGGATGCCATCAGGCCCTGGAGCTGTATTAGATTTGGACTATTTGATAACTTTTTTCAGGCAGTCTGGTGAGATGTAGCAGACAAACGACCTAGTTACTTTCTCATGCATTGCATGGTCATAATCACAGACCCATGGTGCCTCCAGGTTACAGTCGCCGGGTACAGACCACAACTGTTTCCAGAACCATTCATTGGCATCCATGGGAGGCCCCTTATCATTCTCACCATCACCGTTTGTTTTAAGTTGCCTGTAGAATTGTTTTTCATTATTTCTAAAAAGTTTATTATGTTTGATGAATTTCTTTTTCTTTTCCCATTTTTGCCTTCTTTCGGTCCAGACCTTTACTTTTGCCTTAAGGGAATCGAGAATTTGGAGAAATATATTTTCTTTCGTTGTTTTGTATTTTAGTTTTCATTTTCTCCAAATTGCCTTTTGTCGTTTTGACATTGGACTCCCTGATGATCTTAACTTCAGACACAGCTCTATCCAGGAAATGTATTTTCTAGTTTCAGTTAGTTTCAGTTGAAACCGGTTTTTCTTTGGTGTATTGTTCTTAGTATTGGATGTGTTTTCTTTGGAAACTGTGTGAAGTTCCTCCAAGGTTCGAGCGGCAGCATAGATGCAACAATTAAGTCCGGGGAAAGTTTCATAGAAATAATATCATTTAATAAATCAATTTCATTTTTGGGAAAAGATTCAGTTGTTTGTTTAATTGGCCTCCGTTTTTCTAAAGGTAAATCAGATATTTCATCATAAATAGACTGAAACAAAATATACACAGGATTTTCGGAAAAATCTCCAACTGAGGAAGAGGAAGAGGAAGAGTGAGGATTCGAAATTTCGGGCCCAATTGGCTATGTGCCGGAAGAGTTTCCACCAGGAAGAGGAGAGAGGTTAACACGGACGTCCATCAGAAGTTTGGGGTCTTCTGCCGTTTGAGCATTCTACTCATGCAAAGGTTCCTGACGGGCACCAGTTGTGGGTTGAACTGGCTCACGGGGCAAGAGATTTTTAAGCCGCCGGAATTGATTTCGGAGATTTTGCTCCGTCAGGAAAGCATACATGGGCATGGCATTGTCCCAATGCAGCTTAAGCGACTTCCCATTGGTGCGTGGATTTGCAGCCCATCCTGTCGCATTCCCACACTCAAGTAGTGTGGTTTTCATATGGTTTGACCAAGATAATCTTGATCGGGTGCTGTGCCTTCCCCCTGGGGCAATTCAAGTCCCATCTCCAGTATGGTTTGTCTCATTACCGGAGGAAGGCTGACTGGGCTGCGGAAGTGAATTAAAACTTTCCTGTTGGCTGTCTATAACCCAGTGAAAAACGAGCGTCGGGGGGTCAGCCCTAACTGGGTGATGCACGTTTGGTTCAGGGAATAAAATTCCCCTATCTACGGAGAGGCGTACATCATCAGGCCCATGTATTTTTGTATATTATTAAATTATTATTACTATTATTATTGGATATTTATATAGCTCACATATCCACGCACTAGTGCATGCTCAAAGCGCTGGTATTTGTATTTTGCTTGGTCCTTTATCTAGAATGTAGCTCCACAGAGAGGTTCATTTACTTCAGAGCACTGCTGTAGAGTACTGATGGACTTGGTTTGTTGCAAAAAAGGGTCCACTCATACTTCTAATGCACTTGATGCAATAAATCAAAGACGCACACATGGAACCCAGCAACCTAAGTTTAATCTGTCGGGAGTTAAGGCTCGGTACTATGATTCATTGCGCGTAGGTGCACATTGACTTCTTGTTGTTGCGCATGAATTACTGGATTATCTGTCCAGACACAATCATTTACAGGCATAAAACTGAATTATTGCTGATTAGACCTTAAACAACAAACAACACCCTCTAACAAGATTTATGGCTCATCTGTGTTTATAAAATTGTCCAGAGATCGTCGTTTATAAAACAAAACAACTTGCAACCAGTGATGTTTTTACTATTATCTTTGAATTGTTGAAATAGTAGATCTTGACAACCCTCACTGTAAAACTACACAGGCGGCAAATTCATCCAAGTAGACTTCTGTAACACACACATTCAAACTGAAACATCAAAGGGAGGTGGCCACGAACGCCAATGACCATTGAGCCTTGTGAGGAAACACCTTAGAAGTGCTCATTTAAGTGTTCGTGTGCTGGAGTTGGTGTAATATCCTCTTGTCCTACCTTGTGAATGTTGTTCCAGACCGAACTCAGGCACAGAGGGATTTCTGTTTGAAAACATTATTATCTCTGTAAACGTCAAGATGATCATATGCTTGATGACAACTTACATAAGAAAAGACCTATCAAATGTCAAGAGCTAAGCTGAGGAAACTCGTTTCGTACTGTTTCCGGTTATGAATAAAGAATCTCGGCTGCAGATGACAATCAAGTTTAGTTGAGTTGGACTATCAAGATCCTTGCATGGCCTTCGAAGTTATTTATATATTTTCTTTGTGTTATTTCACGTCACTGCTTATTATTTGTTAGTGTTGTTTTGCAAACTGAACAACGAATAATCGTGAAGTTGCCTTTGGGCTGGGCTCATACTAACAGTACTAGTAAGGCCATCCATCTTCTGTTTCCTGTGTCCATCAATAGCTAGAGAGCGGGCGGACGAAACATTTAGATAATTAAAATATATTAACCTCTTTTTCACTACAGAAAATTATTATGTTATAAATGTAGATGAAGAAAGATCAAGATGACTTGGCTTGGGATGAGTGTGTGGACAACCATCTAATATCAGAAGGAGCATCCTGACGGATGAAGCTCACACCATTATTCATAATATTTGAATTTAATGTTTAGCTATACTTCCCAATTAGCCCGTGTACTTAATTTATATTTCCACCGTAATATGGCAGATACACTGGACCATTTTGCAAGCAAAGGATTAAACCGATGCGACATGTGATTCCAATGCGGTTGCAAAAGACGTAGTTGTGGATAAAAGGTCCATGGTATTTATCCTCACATAATGGACATATTGATAATGTACTTGATAATGTACTTAATTACTTATGCTGCATTACCCCCTCGTAGTTTTTTTTATATATAACTATTTAAATTAAAACATTTATTGACAAAAATATATTGTGAAATGTTATGCAAATAAAAGTATCAAGAACCATGTATCATATGAGTCCACGGTACGATTATCACAATATCATTAGAAAATCTTTCTGAATACCTATCATATAAGGATGATACCCGATGTTCGTGAAAAGGTGGGTGTACACTGACACATTCGTGTCACCCGTCACAAACGCATTTGCAGGCAAGTAATCTATTCACGTTTTTTAAAAGCCAAGGGAACATATGAGACAAGCTGAAATAGTGAATTGCATCGAACATCAGTTTCGTCACTGATGCATCATATTTGTGAATGTCGCCATGAAAGCCTCACGACATGAAAATTCATAAAAGGCATCTTAGGGCATACAAAAGTGAAAAAAGAAAAATGATATGCTATGACAATTTCCTGGCACAGTTAAAACATTAGCTGAAAACCAAATAACACTCACGATCTCTTCTTTGAGTGGCATTTTTAGAAGTTGGAGAGTCAGATAAGAACAAACTTTATGGATAAACAACTTATATTTAGGTGGTGTGACGTTTCGATGCAGAGTCTTGTATCGTAGTCAAGCAGGCACAAACATGCCACGCAAAGGGACCTACTTGACAACAATACAAGAATCAGTCACATCATTGCTTCCTTTTTGTGGCCGTTTTATAGAAAACGATGATTTGTAGGAAATCGAATGTTGCATCACATGTTCTTACATAAACTGGAAGCTATTTCCTGCCATGCATCGTTCGAATTCTGAATCAATCCATGTAGATACGACCTATTTGATCAATCGCGATCACTGTGCTCGAGGCTAATAATACCACACGCATGACCAAAATCTCTACCAGTATACTGGTATCTCTTCAGTTCGCACTCAGCAACATTAAGATTAAAACGGGCCGCGTTCACAGGCAACGTTCAATGCCGTACGATGACGCGCAATCAGACCACTGCGATGATTGTCAAAGAGGTGTAAACCCCGTCTAACAAATAGGACCTGGCCTTTGTATTGAGACATAAAATGTAGAGAACAATAAAACACAGAGTCTGCGACATAGTGTCTGAAGATTAAATCAAACATTCTGTTATTGAGGCGAACTTAAAAATTTAAATCTAAAAATAAGGCGCTGCTAAGTTCTACACTCATGTACACACTATCCACAATGATGTATGCATGCCTGGTCAGAATTTATGAACCTAATTTGAAACCCAGACTTCAAATAGTTTAGCGTAGGTGAAAATGAGTAATGATCGTCTTGGCGATTACACTTCCCGTCACACCATGACGTTTCACACGATACGGAGTTGCTGAATTCTAATCTCTTGGACACATTATCCACAATGATGTATACGTTCTTGGTTAGGATATCTGAACCTAATTTGAAACCAGACTTCAAATCGTTTCGTGTAGGTGACAACGAGTGGTGATTGTCTTGGCGATACGACTTCCCGTCACACGATGTTTCCGCTTGTTCTGTCTCTCCCAGATAGTCTGTTATATCTGACATGATGACAATAACATGACACCCTGATGTACATGTTTTACCCTTACATAGAAATGTCTCAAATCCTAAAAAAATCTCCGAAAATTAGAAAAGGTTAAACCTTTTCATTAAGGTCATTTTTTTCCCATGAAGAAGTTGATTTGAAACGATCGCGATGTAACGAAGACCAATTCTAACCCGGATCGTCATGGGTCTGTTCAACACAAGTCCCCAGCGAGCTGCATTCACTGAGGAGTCACGCGGTTCCTACACGTGTGAGGACAATACACCTCCAGTCGGTTGTGTATATGACCCATGCTGATAATTGTCTATAGTCAGTATAGTGACTTTAATAGTGACAACAAAGGTCTCCAGACATGTCTTTAATGAGCTGATATCAATTTCGCCATGCACAAAAAAAATAAATAGATAGAAAACATCAGACAAATAAATAACGCTAACGAGTTCATTTGTTGGAGTAAATGTTGTACAGCTTGTGACATTGGCGACAGTAATTGTAAGTTAAGGGAATAAGATCCACTTAGAGAAGTAGCAAATATCAGTCTTTCACTGTGTGTGCCACCTTTTTGCATTTGTCCCCTGGTAATACCAGGATATAACAAACCTCTGCTATTACGGAAAATAGACATACGATGTAATTTGTGGACATTTTTAAGAGTATACAATTTGGAGGTTTGTATCGACGACCAATTCACGTCATAGTCATTGTTCAAAATGGTATTCGCTGAGGCAATTGACAAAAAGTGTCAGTCATTTTACAAACTGGCATATATGTCGATTCTTTCAACCGACTGACTAAATATTGTATATATGATGGCTGAGTGAGTGAGTGAGTGAGTGAGTAAGTAACTACTAGGCTACCCCACCGCCCCACACGGCTTAAAGTGACCAGTTTACTACCTGCATCATGTCTCAGTGACTTCACAAGACAATAAAATTATTGGTAAAACTGAAACATTGCTGTGACGCTGTCGGACATTTCCTCAACCATTCGACGGAAGACCTGTAAATAACATGGAAAAACGTTTTTTATATCTAAACGAAATTCCCTCATTAAAATGAGTCGAGTGTACGTTTCTGATATCGTGCGCATGTATGTATTAAACACTATCAAATAGGTGTTAGAGAAAAGAGTTCAAATAGTCATGCCATTACGGTGGCAGCCTACACAAACACATGCCAAGGCGAGTCAAGTGTTGACCTGAAATAGAAACCCAAACCAAAACATAAAGCAACTGCAGGCACAAACACCAAGATAAGACAGACAGACACAGACAGACACAGAGACGCACGCACGCACACATTATAACAAAACAAATCAAAACAAAAATAACAAGGGATAAAATCGAACAATGGTACCTGATGACATGATTCTTTACTTTATTTAGCGAGCCATATCTCAGATGGGAAGGCCACTGGTCACAGTGTTCGCCTGTGGCGTCTAGTAGCCTGGTTATCGATTCCTTACATGGATTCACCGTTGGAAGTTCTTACCAGCTCATTGTTCACCTGCCATGGTAGTCCAGCAACAATCCTTAAATCCACACTCACCCAATTATTTTTGTCGATCCATTTTGCAGCAACCTTCAAAATACTTGGTTATCATCGAAATGACCAACCCATGAATACCTGCTTGAAACTGACCCATCTGGAGCTGACACAGACATGAATGAGCAATTGCAGAACTCGTAAGTGTTGTCAATCTGTGAGTTGTACCATTGATAAGCAGAACATTCCATCGACAATTACTGAATCGTCCTTTGCGGTGACGTCAAGGGTGAAACGTACATCTCTATATGGTTTGCCTGTCGATCCATCCTTTTATTGGCTCAACTCTCCCTTCCGTCTATGACTACAGTGTACAGGAGCATTACTGGGCCATATACGTAGCGGATGCAGCTGCTACTCTTCATCAGTTATCATCAGCAGCATTGGCGTATTGCAGGGACTACACATGACAAAATTGCTCTTTATACTTACTCTGGATGATCGTAACATGTCAGACCATGTCATTCACTAGACAAGTGAGTGAGTGAGTGAGTGAGTTTGGTTTTACGCCGCTTTTAGCAATATTCCAGCAACATCACGGCGGCACTAGACAAGTACAGTGGAACAACCCTGAGTATTTTCAGGAACTCTATATTCTCGTGAGCTGGTAACCATAACAGCATGAATATAGTCGATATAAGAGATGAAAATTTATGACTGTTTCTTAATTAGCGACCGACAATCTGAAATTCGGCAACATGTGCAATACCAGATAATATATATGTCATCACCTCTTTTCTAAATATATCGTTTAAAATACAATTGACTCCTGAGAATAACTGTCTGAAATTCCATTCCTAGTCCAAGCAAATCCCTGGGCAGCCCCACCACCAATCCCCACCTCACACCCCTAAAAAAAAAAAAAAAAAAAAAAACCCAACAACTAAACAAAACCACACACCCCTAAGGTAATCCAATCCAAAGAGCTTAACATCCTGCTGTGTTCACCTAAAATCCCTTTAAATGTCTTGCATTGATATCATCTGTTGAAATTACAGGAGCTGTGGGACAAGTGCTGTCTTACAAGGAAGTAAAAGTTAAGCAGCTCAATAACGTTATCGGTCTTAAAGCTACGAGACATTGACACCGTTTCTCGATAGTTTAGGAAGCTGATTTTCAATCCTGTTTCTCTTTTCCACAAAGTAATCCTCACGCTAAGGTGATCGCAGAGGGACATATAATACGTGTTATACGACATAACGTTGTAGATCAATAACGTTCAGACACTGGTAGTATGTATATACTACTATAAATAAATAGTTAGGTTGTAATATTATGATGTTACACAGATATGGGAGACGACCAAACGAAATTAGCTATACCATGAAAATAATTTTGCATATGATAAATAGTTTTTGTGTTGCAATACCTAAAACAGGTCTTGGTAACAAAGACATCACATTTATGGATATATGACATAGGTAGCTTTGGTTTGACACCTTTCAAAAGCAAACTATGTCTTGATTATACAATTTACCGAGACAAATCGAGAACTCTTTTGGCTAACTTGTACATGATAGCTCTCGCACCAATACACACATTTACGTCATCTATGTACACTTTTCTTTCTGTAACAGTTCCTGACATTTTCTCACAGAATTACCCATAACAAAATTTACGTCATTTTTAAGGAAAATCGAACGTTTAAACAATTGTTAAGAGGCAGTGTTCTACGCTGTGCAACAACGTTTCACCTGTACTGTGATATATTAAGACTTGTACTATATTTAGTCAGAGGGCTAAAATGTAGCAGAGACTTACTCTGATGCAGAGGAGAAAGACGTGCCTAAGCGTAGAATGTTCTAGCAATTTGTGAAGATAGCTATTGCCTCTAATCTCACATTACATTTCAAGTCACTGGAAGACCAGTATTGTGTATGATCATCATATACCCTGCCTGGCCCTAGCTGCAGGTTGGGTTACTGTTGCTGAGAGGCGACTATTGCCATCATTCCAATCGTCACTGCTCTTCCTGTCATATTGCCATCATTACAATAGTCACTGCTCTTCCTGTCATATTGCCATCATTCCAATAGTCACTGCTCTTCCTGTCATATTGCCATCATTCCAATAATCACTGCTCTTCCTGTCATATTGCCATCAATTCCAATAAACACTGCTCTTCCTGTCATATTGCCATCTATATTGCCATCATTCCAATAAACACTGTCTCTTCCTGTCATATTGCCATCATTCCAATAAACACTGCTCTTCCTGTCATATTGCCATCATTTCAATAGTCACTGCTCTTCCTGTCATATTGCCATCATTCCAATAAACACTGCTCTTCCTGTCATATTGCCATCATTCCAATAATCACTGCTCTTCCTGTCATATTGCCATCATTCCAATAGTCACTGCTCTTCCTGTCATATTGCCATCATTCCAATAATCACTGCTCTTCCTGTCATATTGCCATCATTCAATAAACACTGCTCTTTCCATATTGCCATCATTCCAATAATGCCATCATTTCCAATCATGCTCTTCCTCATATTGCCATCATTCCAATAGTCACTGCTCTTCCTGTCATATTGCCATCATTTCAATAAACACTGCTTCTTTCCTGTCATATTGTCATTTCCATAATACTGCTCTTCCTGTCATATTGCCATCATTCCAATAATCACTGCTCTTCCTGTCATATTGCCATCATTTCAATAACCACTGTTCTTCCCTGTCATATTGCCATCATTCCAATAATCACTGCTCTTCCTGTCATATTGCCATCATTCCAATAATCACTGCTCCTCCTGTCATATTGCCATCATTCCAATAGTCACTGTTCTTCCTGTCATATTGTGCTCTTCCTGTCATATTGCCATCATTCCAATATGCTCTTCCTGTCATATTGCCATCATTCTAGTCACTGCTCTTCCTGTCATATTGCCATCATTCAATAATCACTGCTCTTCCTGTCATATTGCCATCATTCCAATAACCACTGCTCTTCATATTGCCATGTTCAATATCACTGCTTTTCCTGTCATATTGCCATCATTCAATAGTCACTGCTCTTCCTGTCATATTGCCATCTCTTCCTGTCATATTGCCATCATTCCAATAATCACTGCTCTTCCTGTCATATTGCCATCATTTCAATCATTCTCATATTGCCATCATTCCCATAATCACTGCTTTCTGTCCTGCTCTTCCTGTCATATTGCCATCATTCCAATAATCACTGCTCTTCCTGTCATATTGCCATCATTCCAATAGTCACTGCCTCTTCCTGTCATTTCAATAGTCACTGCTCTTCCTGTCATATTGCCATCATTCCAATAGTCACTGCTCTTCCTGTCATATTGCCATCATTCCAATAATCACTGCTCTTCCTGTCATATTGCCATCATTCCAATAATCACTGCTCTTCCTGTCATATCCATCATTTCCAATAATCACTGCTCTTCCTGTCATATTGCCATCATTCCAATAATCACTGCTGCTCTTCTTCCTGTCTCTTCCTGTCATATTGCCATCATTTCAATAGTCACTGCTCTTCCTGTCATATATCATTTCAATAATCCATCATTCCAATAATCACTCTCTTCCTGTCATATTGCCATCATTCCCATAATCACTGCTCTCTTCCTGTCATATTGCCATCATTCCAATAATCACTGCTCTTCCTGTCATATTGCCATCATTCCAATAGTCACTGCTCTTCCTGTCATATTGCCATCATTCAATATCATTCACTCACTGCTCTTCCTGTCATATTGCCAT